TAAGGTGACTTGTGCATCCTCTGCACACATAGCGCCTCGACCCGTGCAAAAAAAACCGCTCCATCCCCACCATCCGCTCCACGCGCTCCACTCCATCCCCTCCATCCGCACCGTCCGTGGAGACGCTGCTGGTTGAGCTGGGCATTGGGTTTTCTGGCAAATGAACGTGGCGGCAGTGTTGAGCACTCCAAGCTTGGGGCAGTGTTTTTGAATCCATGAAGAGGCATGCGATGCCGCTTGTCGCAACTTATTTAGCTCGGAGTGATTGAGACGATTGCGTTGCGCAGTGGCTGGTCTTTGAACGTATCTGTGAAATCTCAGAGCAGATTTTCGGGGGGCTTTGTGAGAAGAAGCGATTGTGATGCAGACGGACAGAAGAGATGTTGAACAAAAACATTTTTTCATTTGTTTTTTCTTCTTTCCAGGGGGCGTGCGTAAAGTCCACTTGTGGGAACCTTCGTGGTAAGGAGGGGCTTCAGGGGAGATGCGCGGTAGACGGTAGGTTTCAGGGGGGCCTCAACGTGGGACTTAAGGGGTGGCTCAAGGGAAGGGATCAAGAGGGAGGAAAAGGAAGTGCTTAAGGGGTGGTTAAAGGAAGATTTACGAATTTTTGGGATTGAGATGGCGCTTATAAGGAGGGGAAAGGGATAGGTTTTGGGGGGATTGAGCGCGGGATAAGGGGGGCTTCAAAGCTTGGGGCAGTGTTTGAATCCATGAAGAGGCATGCGATGCCGCTTGTCGCTACTTATTTTGCTCGAGGTGATTGAGACGATTGCATTACGTAGTTGCTGGTTTTTGAATGTAGTTGTGAAATGTCAGAGCAGATTCTCGGGGGGCTTTGTGAGAAGAAGCGATTGTGATGCAGACGGATAGAAGAGATGTAAAACCAAAAACATTTTTTCGTTTGTTTTTTCTTCGGTCCTAGGGGGCGTACGGAGGGGGGTTCGAGAAGCGGGGAAACAAAGGAGGACTAAAGGTTTTCGGTGAAGGAGTGGTTCGATTATCTGTTGGTTTCGGCGTGAGGCTGTTGGCTCATCCAAAAAATTTGAGCACCCGTTAGGTTCAGAAATCTTTCAGCCTAAAGTCTAC